TAACATTAGATCTCAATCATTCTCTCAATAAAACTTTAAAAAGATTAAATGTCTCACCATGAAGGATCGGGTTATTACTTTTAATCATGTATTTAGAGAATCTAATAATTATGTAGATTGACTTGCTCATCAAGGTTCAAATGATAATATCAACATTCTCATTTTTGACTATTTACCCTCAAGGTGTTGACTTCCTATAAGTTTTGATTTAATGTAATTTCTTCTTATTGCATGATTTTGTGACCTTGTATTAAAAAAAAATAAATCCTTTCATTTTATTCGAGTTTTGCTATAGGTTTCTATACTTTTTTTAATGTTCTAAGTCCTTACATTTTGTTTTTTCAGTATTTTAGGCTGAAACATAAAAAAAAAAAAAAATGTAAAGATCTAAAATATCAAAAAAACTAAAGGGATTCAAAGTTATGTTTTTTTTTTAAATCTATGTACTCCTTCGTTTATAATTGTAAGACATTTTTAATCAATCTTATTCTAATAAAATAATTCATTGTCTTCAACTAATTTAATCATTTTATATTTACTCATATTTAATAAGTTATTTTACTCTAAAATAAATATAAGTTATTTATTTAATATGGCACTTTTTTTAAAACAACAATGATTATATTTTAAAAAATTAAAAATATTTTATATTTTTAAATTAAGAGAATATCTATCAATCATTCTAAAGGTTAAGAATGCGTGGGGGCACGTACATGTATAAATCTAAACAAAATGATTAATATAATATAAATTCATGATAAATTATGCAAGCATTTATCTATTATAGTTCCATTCTTTTCTCGCACCCTTTTTTTTTTCCTTCCATGTCTTATCAAAAAAAAAAAAGTGGCGGCTGATATAAAATTTTATTAGTATATATAATTTCATAAAAAAATTCTGTAACCATAGTTTGAATGGAGTGGGTTTCTCTCCACTATCTTTTTTTTTCCATTATCTTTTCACTGTAAATCTCAATTATTTAAATTAAATTTGTATTTTTATGTCTAAATTTTTAAATTTAATTTAACGCTTCAGATTTTATTGGTTTCTCCATTTCTCTCTTTTGCAGGGGAGAGAATCCACCTCCAGTTTGAATATGTTGATTACAATGATCAGTTTTCATAATCGAACTCATCAGCCACTATTTAACTTCAAGAAAAAAGAATATTGAAGAAAGATGTAAAGAAACGAAAAGCAATTAAGCATCAGGCATTAGTCTCCGTAGAATGAGTTATAAGCATAATTGTATTGAAACTCTGAGCAGACCGGTTCAACTCATAAATTCATGACCTGATTTTTTTCTTGGTCCAGATAACTCGGTTAATTTGGCCGGATTGTTGGGTCAGTCAAATCACTTTTTTATTTTTTATTTTTTTAATTGTAAAAGTTAATTAAAAAGTAAAAATTTAACTTGAAAATTAAAGAAGTGAGGCAATGGAGGGCAGACAGTTAAACCAAAAATATTTACGGTTCAAACATTAAATAGAGAGCTTTAATTGTAAATTTCAATATAAAAGATTCAGTATTTTTCTAAATTAATTATGTCTTAATTGTTTTAATCTTCTATTATTTACTGTTGTTTATTTATTCGATCGTTGCTTGGCATTTATGAATTATGATTGTTATTGTTGATAATTTTAGTATTAGTAATTATTAGTTTTAGACTTTTTAATGATTGAAAGGTTGTAAATTATAATTATAAGAATGAAAATTTAAAAAGTTGTATTTCATTATTGTTAGACTTTTGGGTGATTGTAATTCTACAATTATTGTTGTATTTGTATCTTATATTGGAGATTAATCTTGGATTTGGTTGAATGTTTTCATGATTAATATCTTTTTATTTAAATTATATTATTTTAATCATGACTGATTTGCTTTTTGGATTGACCTTCAGTTCAATTCCATTGAACAATTAATTCATTAATTTGATCGATTCAATGATTCATTTGATTTTTAGTACCTTGATAAACATTGATCATTTAAATACATGTTTTGGATTCGAATCAATATAAATGTAGAAAATATGTTTGAGAGGATAATTTTCAGTCAAATTCAACACTGTTTGAATATAAGCTGGTCATATATCTGTATAAAAATTTAAAAGAGACAGTACGGGGGAGAATAATAAGAATAAAATAATATTCCATGAGAGATGAAAAGGGAGAAAAAGAGAGGGGATGAATGTGGTTGGGGTGGCTATTAGGGGCCTGATGATGAGAACAACGTCTCGCTCGCTTTGTTCGCTCCTCCAATTCTCTTCTTTATTATGCGTCGCTATCACAAAGCAGAATCCAAAATTATTTAAGACACAGGTCTTTTATATTTTTTTTATTTTTTTGACCAACGATCTTTTATAGTTTATGCTCATTTTCATTTCTTCTCACTTTTGCTTTCTCCTTCTCCAGTACACCGATTTTTGAACCCCGTTATTCTCACATGCCCTTGTTTACGGCCCTCCCATGGTCGTCCCTTCCCAGAATTTGAATCTCATGTGAGTAGATTTAAGCTATTCACTCTATCCAAATCCGCTTTACCTTTTTTGACATAAAGTATTTGTAATTATTTTACCATTGAAAAAATTAGTTGAAGTCTTATTCTTTTAAAAGAATTATACATGTATAATTTTTTTAAACATTAAATGGCAAATTAACCCTAAATTATCAGTCCATGAATGTCCATGCCACTGAACTTATTTTTAATTTAATGTTTTTCTACAACTTTTAAAAATATTACAATATATTGACAAAAATTAACTTTTTTTAATTGTTTTTTATATATTTTTCTATTGAAAGCAATCCTATTGAAGCATAGCAGAAAAACTTTAACTATTAGTTAACAAAAAAAATAATAAAAAATACACAAAAATTACAAAAAAGGATTAGAAAACTACATAAAAGGATTCAAAAATTATAAATAAGGACAAAAAATTATAGAAAATGATAAGGAATTTTTTTATTGTTTTATGTAATCTTTGATGTCCTATTTTTAATTATTTTTTGGTTAATTAATAATCAAAATTAATTTTTATTAACAGTATGAGCAACATTGTATTACTTTTAAAAGTTAAAGGAGAACATTATCTAAAAAATGAGTGTAAGACTTTTACATGTTCCTAGACTTATAATATAAATTCTAATTTTACATTTAACCTTCTATTAAATGATGCACTTATTAAATGTCATATCGAAATGTATTAATTATGATAAAAATTTTTGAATGGATTATTTTTTCAAAAAGGAATAAAATGTAATAAGGGCATAATTAGAAAAAAATATAAAAATTATTCAATGTCTTGTATTTTTGACTAGGTGAGGTTTTTAAAAAATGCTCTATATTATGGATCATAAGGAGGGAGTATTTGCTTGATCATGAATACATGTTAATAACAATTTTGAAACTACGTTTGCAAGAAGCAAAGCATTGTGGCTAACTGGCAATCCGAATGTATAGTTGGGAGTTTCTAAAATAATATATACTCCCTTAGATCCAAGATAGAAGCACCTTTTAACAATATTTTGAATATTAATAAAAAAATTTATTCTCATGAAAATATAATTTTTTTTTACTCTTATGATTTATGATGAATTGGAAGAAGGTCATAAATTTATAAATACAAAAATTTAAGTTAATAAATATAAAAAGTAAATTATCTTTTTTACAAATACTAAAATTTTTATATTTTAAATTAAGATTAGATAAAAAATATTTATATTTTAAATTGGAGAGAGCACATTTTTATTCTGGCCTATTAGATCAAATTTAACCTATACGAATATATTTTTTTTTTAACCGGATGATTCCTTGTCATATGTTGTAAAACTTTATATTTTGCATCTTTTGCTCTTCTTTTGATGGCGGGGAAAAAAAAAAAAAAACAGCAACAAATGCTCTTGTTTTATTTTTTAGCATGCGTTGAATCGCTTCTCCTAACTTCATATCCTTTCCTGAATCCTGATGCTAATATCTTCGCCGTCTACCATACGCTAATAACTTTTTCAACTTTTCATATTTTAATGTAATTATTTTTTGCTCTTCTTGATTGTTTCTGTTTGTAATCTGTACAATCGTTTTAATATATACTTCGTTCCCACTCAAAAAAATATTTTCGCTGTCTGTAAAAAAAAAAAAAAAATCTACTTCATTAATGAATCACATCGATCAGTCAGTTCTATCATCTCCCTCCATTTCTTTTTATTATTAAAATAAGAAAACTAAAAACTTTTTTAATGTTCACAAAAGTTAAAGTATATTTTTATGTTTAAATTTTTTTAAAAAAACATCCAACACTTTAATATTTTTATTAAAATAATTTTATTTTTAAAATTATTGAAATGAAATTTTTTTACTCTTTTTATTAATTTTTTTAACAGTCAATATTTAAAATTAATGTTAAAATTTTTTGACAAAAAAAATATTTCATTTCAATAATTTTAAAAGTAAAATTATTTTAATAAAAAATATTAGAATGTTAAATATTTTTTAAAAAATATTTCAAAACAAAAACAGGTCTTTACCCCGTTCACAATCATTTTTTTTATTGCCCTCTAATATCCTCTTATAAGAAAATATCTTGTTTGAGACACTAAATTTTATAATTATTTTTATCATGTTTTTTATCTCACTTGTTTTCATTCCATGAAATTATAAAAGATCTTATATTTATTTTGTGCTGCAGAAGATTCAAACTATTATTTGTCTCCTCTAAAATTATTGCAAATATTATTTTAAAAATAATTTATGATATTAATTCTGTTCACAAAAAATGAATAAAAGCAAAACATTCTGATCAAATAACAAGACCCATTCTAAATCTAAATTCTAAGCCATTTTATAAAATAAACAAGGATTAAAAATCATTGAAATAAAAGAAAAACCCAGCACTGTTGCAACAACTTTTACAAAAATATTAAATATGAATATTAATACTGATATTACTCTTATTTTCTTATTTATATATGTGTGAGGCTGAATCGTTCGGAAAAGCGTATTTTGGGCGAGCAAGTGCCAGAACACAAGAACGCACCAAGTTGGAAAACAAGAAAGACACAGCAGAGTGTGTGTGTGTGTGTGTTTCTTTCCTGCTTTTGCGGCCCCTCTCGCCGTCTTTGGGTAGCGTCACCACTTTTTCTCTGCCATTTTCTGCCGCATTTAATCTCTTTTTTTGATTCTTCTTCTTCTGTTCCCGGTTTTCCTTCTCTATTATTCACTTCCATTTACGGCTTCTATTATTTATAGCCCCGGACGATGCCTATCAGCTTCATTCACTTCCCTATAAACAATACTCAAGCACCCTAATTTTGTTCTCAAACTAGGTGCCGTACATCTATCTCTCTGTCCTGATTCCTCGGTTCCTTATTCTTCTTCTGCCTTTATAAGAAAGTGACATCTCCAACAAAAGGTTTCGTTTTTTATTATTGTTAATATAACTCTATTCTCCTTTGCATCTCTCTTTTCTTGTGTGGAATTTTAAGCATTTCAATTCCAAAGTGTCTGTCTAACTGGATTGGTTCTTGAAGATGACCGAGACAATGTTGGCCCAGAAGCAGGCAGAGGAGGCCATCGTTTCCGGCGAAACAGAGCATGAAGGAGGGAAGATGGAAGACGGAGAAGATCAGCCGGAGCAACAGAGCGCTGGCTTCAGCTTCAAGAACTTGCTCTGGCATGGTGGTTCTGTATGGGATGCTTGGTTCAGCTGTGCTTCGAATCAAGTGATTTTTCCGCAAAACCTTCAACAAATCGTTTCTCCAGTTTATTCTGTTCAAGGTCCATTACTGGGCGAACCAATTTTCATGGTGTTTTGTTTTTGCCTTTACAGGTAGCTCAAGTGCTCTTGACGCTTCCATATTCTTTCTCTCAGCTGGGTATGCTCTCTGGCATCTTGCTTCAGATATTCTATGGGATAATCGGAAGCTGGACGGCTTATCTAATCAGTGTACTCTACATGGAGTACCGAACCAGAAAGGAAAAGGAAAACGTCAGCTTCAAGAACCATGTCATTCAGGTGGGTTTATTAATTACTTTTAATTTAACTTCAAACCCAGAATTCAAGAGACGACTTTGAACTTCACCGTTCTGGGTTTCAGTGGTTCGAAGTCCTGGATGGGTTACTAGGGCCATACTGGAAGGCCGTGGGGCTAGCTTTCAACTGTACTTTCCTCCTTTTTGGATCTGTGATACAGCTAATAGCATGTGCAAGGTATGATCTTTCCTTCATTTCTGGAACCAGTTTGGGATTTTCTGAAATGGTTTTATTTACTAATTTTTGGGTCATGTGATTGAAACAGTAACATCTACTACATAAATGACAACTTGGATAAAAGGACCTGGACTTATATTTTTGGGGCTTGCTGTGCCACCACTGTGTTCGTACCTTCATTCCATAACTACCGAATCTGGTCATTTCTTGGCCTCGCTATGACCACTTACACTGCTTGGTATTTGGCCATCGCAGCTCTAATTCACGGCCAGGTAGTTCACTTGCCTTCACCAAATTTTGATATGTGATCACTTTCAGTTGGATGATGAATCTGATCGGATCCAAATTCAGTGGAAAACGAAAGAGAATCGATCACTATGAGCTGATGAGTCTGGGGATGTTGTTGTAGGCAGATAACGTGAGTCACTCGGGTCCGAACAAGCTAGTACTGTACTTCACCGGAGCGACCAATATACTGTACACGTTCGGTGGACACGCCGTCACCGTGTAAGCTTCCATTTTCTTCATTATTATCACTATCCACTTTCATCGTCATAGTTAGCTTCTACGAAATAGGATTGTTTCATGTGCGTGACATAATAAATTGTATGGCGACACTACATTACATGTTTTATCATGTGATATGTTGGAACTTTGTATTGTGTATTGTCTTTGTAATCCTATTGCTATTATTGCTTCCGAGCTCCCTGAAGTTGTAGCGGACCATAAAATATGGAATCATCGGGGAGTCCAGCTTCAGTCCAATTATTATTATCATTATTTTTATATTTTCATTTGATTGGAAGGAAATTTTCCAGAATTTTTTTTTTAAAAGGCGTCAATGTCATGTGGGAGTCACGTGTGGTTGTTATTACAGGGAGATAATGCACGCAATGTGGAAGCCTCAGAAGTTCAAGTTCATTTATTTACTGGCCACGCTTTATGTGTTCACTCTGACGATTCCGTCGGCCGCCGCAGTTTACTGGGCGTTTGGCGACGAGCTGCTAAACCACTCCAACGCCTTCTCTCTCCTCCCCAAGACCCGGTTCCGTGACGCCGCCGTCATCCTCATGCTCATTCACCAAGTAAAGTTATAGACACAATCTATGATATGTCGCGCGTATTTATAAGAAACAATGATAGTTAAAAAATTTGACACGAAAATTGTGACATTGTGTTGCAGTTTATAACGTTTGGGTTTGCATGTACGCCGTTGTACTTTGTGTGGGAGAAGGTGATCGGGATGCATGACACGAAGAGCATATGCTTGAGGGCGGTGGTGAGGTTGCCGGTGGTGATCCCGATATGGTTCTTGGCGATCATCTTTCCGTTCTTTGGTCCCATAAATTCTACCGTCGGGGCTCTCCTCGTTAGCTTCACCGTTTACATCATCCCATCTTTGGCTCATATGCTCACTTATCGGACTTCTTCCGCTAGACAGGTACCTCTACGACTCATTTCTCAAATATGGGACTCGCTTTCAATTCTTTTGGTCTTAACTTCAAATTTATGAAAAGTAACATTTAATTTATAAATGAACATCTCTTCTGTTTTTAAATATCACAGAGATTTTTTGGAGAAATTTATTGTGATTTGGAATGGTGGAGGGCATAATGCACAAAAATAACATGCTATCAACTGGTCAAGTGATCTGATCACTTGTGCTCCATGTTTGATCTATCACTCTCTTTTTGGAACATGTCCTTACTGCCGATATATATTTTCTAAGAAAGGAAAATATAAGTAAGGCCAAGATATATTCAAGTGAGCTATCATGTGGAGTCTAGTTTCGTTCAATTTTATATGAGAAGTTAGGTTACTTCAAGTAAATCTTCAGTATCCGGTCAGTGTAAAATGTATAATTTTTTAAATTGGAAATTAAATTATTTAATAAAATTTGACTATCCAAATCAACAATACAGAGTATTTAGTGACCTCCAATGTGATCTTGCCGCTTGGTGAGTTGCTATTTAATTAAATTTAGGAGTTGTGAAAGAAAGCAGCCAATGTTGAAAAGAAATTGAAGGCTTGGATTTTATGAGAAGTGTGGGTGGTAAGAGGTCCCTTTCCTTTCGTTATTTGCTACAGTTGAATTGTTGTACTATGTCTCTCTTTGAGCTGGCCTATGTTGTCCCATCTCTTTCCAACAAAAACAAGTGAAACTAAATTAATCCAAGTTAGCCCATGATGGTCTTTAAACAAGTAATTAGAATGGAATGACAATAACCAATAAGCATTTGGTTCAAATTAATAGTAAGGGAGTCATGCTAGCTTAACCAAAGATTCAAGTCCAAGTCCTGGAAATGAAATAGTGTTTGTTGGTAGAGTTTTTGCTCGCAAGGGTCCCAACCCGGCTTGATCCAGATCAGTTGGAGCCACAGGCTTTTGGACACTGGATGGTTTACTGAAAAAAAGAAAAGAAAGTAGAATGACAACAGTTCTAAATTTGGGTGCGATTGAATTTGCAGAATGCTGTAGAGAAGCCTCCAGCCTTCATGGGAAGCTGGACTGCCATGTATGTCCTCAATGCCTTCATTGTGGTATGGATTCTGGTTATTGGATTTGGGTTTGGAGGATGGGCCAGCATGGCCAATTTTATCAAGCAAATCGATGATTTCGGCCTCTTTGCCAAGTGCTACCAGTGCAAGTACCCGGCTTCACCGCCGGGGGCCACGGTAGCTCCACCACCTCATCACCACTGATCATGGATACATACACTGGCTGACTCTGCATACATAGTAGACTGGTTCTTCCTCAGTTTGGCTCAACATTTTGTATCATCATCAGCTTGTTCAGTTGGTGTGATGTTGTGTGGTGGGTTTGGCATATATTTTTGGTCTTGTTTTTTAATGGCTATAGTGTGGTGAAAAATGGATGATCCATTGGGGCTATGATTTGAATCCTTTGTGTGCTTTTTCTCAAGTTTCAACCATATAGTACGCATTAACTTGTGTGATACGTAGTAAGGTCCATGTGCAAGGCCCAATTGCCCAATTGAAGCGAATCATGGGGGTAATCTCAGCTCTTGCAAGTGTGGGGATAATGTTGCCCATGCTTTGTATAGCCCAATAGAGAATGCTAGTATGGACAAAAGCTCTTGCGAAGCAAAATGCTTTTTTTTTTGTTTGGGAGGGAAGGATTAGATTTATTAGTATTTGTCTTCGACCTCGACCTTTTGATATTGTAAATAATCTGTGCAGGCCGACATCTAAAATTAGTTGACAAGAAATATTAAGTGGGCCAAGATCTTCAAGAGACAGAGAGTGTGTGCGTGGAACCAAAGTGTAATGGTGCATCGTCTCTACATCCATTAATTCAAAGGTTAATAATTAGATTGTGATTGAGCAAGACTAGTTATATTTAATTTGATATTTTTAAATAATATATAAAATTATAAAATAAATTCTTTCATAACCATAAACTAAGATTTAAATAAAGAAATGTTTAAACAGAAAACAAGAAAAAATTATAAATTATTTATGTTTTAGTTTATTTGAAAGAATATAATATATTAGTAGAATATAATGAGATAGAGATTTTTGTAAATATCAAATAACACTTGCTAATATTAATTTGAAACCCTTTTCCAAATTTATCCTAAACCAACGGCCTAGATTTGTTAGATGCAGAGAGGAAACACCGTTATAGATGTAAACATTTAAATTCCCCGTAGGACACTAATGAATTTAATATGATAGAGGAGCTTAAAATGTCATGATGATTTTCTATAAGGTTTATAATATACATTTATAAAACAAAATTCAGGGAAGACATTATATTTTATGTCAAAATTAGAAACTAGTTCATTTCACTAATGGGGAGAGGGTAAAATTTTGGGACGACTTTTGGGTTGGGGATTCTAGACCCTTGAAAAACCTCTCCTATGCTGAAATTCACAAAAATGATTTGCAAAGGTGAATTGCTCATTTCCGGAATGAGAATGGTCAACGGAATTGGAATTTGTGAAGTCATTTGCTGCCAGCCGCAACTCTGCAACAAATCAACGATGCTTTCGTCGATAGGGAGGAACCTGACCCTACTTTCTTTGTGGCATCTCACCACACATAGTAATTTCATAGTCAAGTATGCTTACAGAGCTTTCCAATCACTCCACTAGTAAATGGAATTATGTTTGGAAGCTCCCGGTTCCTCAAAGAGTTAAAACCTTCCTCTTGTTAATGCTAAAGGGACGGCTTCTTACCAACTCTGAGAGGTTCCGCAGCAAGGTGACCCAACACCAGCAATGCTCCATCTGTCATGGTCCAGCAGAAGATATCAACTATGTTCTTAAGGATTGATCATTTGCTACCTGTGTGTGGAAAAACGTGCTGCCTGATGATCTATACATTGAATTTGCAAGGAAAAGGTGGACTCCTGGTTAGTCAATCTTCTCAGATTTGCCAGGCTTGTTATCTCTTCGAAAGTGGGATCTAGCATCATATGCTGGAAATTATGGGAAGCAAGAAACCAATGAATCTTTGTTCATGCAGTTCACAGTGTTGACTCTTCTCTTGTGAACATTATGAACTCAGTTAACCACACTCTTAAAGCTTTTGTTACTTTTAAGTCTTTGATATAACTTTTTTTCTTGCTTTTTGTTATTTTATCTGATGTACAGTTCATTAGTTTAATGATATTCTCTATCAGAATTATATTTTTCCTTTCTCATTTTTTATTAGAAATGTAAAGTCTCAATGTGAATAAGAATTTTTGGGCTCGCTTATTACAATTTGCCCTTATGCAAAGATGCAATAGATAATTGGAAGAAAGTAGCTTGATTAATTAGTTAAAGAAGCTTTTTTTTTTGATGATTGATGATATGCCTCTAAAAATTTCTAATACTTTCAACTTTATGATTGTATTTTAAGTTGAACACAATATTCTTATGCATCCATTTCACAAGTTTGGTGCAGTCAGTAGAGAATTACATAATTACAAAAAAATTGAGAAGAAGAACTAAATTTTAATTACAAAGTGATATAAAAGATAAATTAAGCAATGAAGAATTTGAGTTGTTTGTTGTTCGTTGTTGCTCTTTCTTCTCTCTCTAGAGCTTTATTTATAATACTTGCATGATGTTGTTGTGTCGTTAACACAAGAAGTTTGGATATTTTGTGTTGAAATATCCATTTCTATTAAACCCGATCTTGCAAATTTTGGGGCACGTTTAAATAATAGTTTTTTTGGTTTAATCGCTTTGAGTTTAAAAAATCATGTTTTTTCAATAACTCATTGCTTACTTAGTTTGGAAGGCCTATTTTAAATGGACCTGGCTTTACTTCATTGAATGATTTATTGTTCCTGACTCTTTATTTCTGCTAATTTGAGCTTTTATTTAAATGTAGATATTTTAAGCTTTAACATTATGATTCCAAAGATTTTCTTTTCGCTAGAGATTCCGGATATATATATATATATTATTTTGGGTCAAAGAGATTCCGAAAATTTACTTGTCCCATGGCCTCTTTCACAATTTAACTTCAAAAAATTTAATACTTTTTTAGGCCAAAACAAAAATTTTATTACTTTGGAAGCAGACAATAATGACTTTTCAAATGTCAATTTTTTCTTATACTGTCCTAAAGCAAAGCATATAATAATTTTTACTTTATATAAAACTTACGTTATTATTTGTTTTTATTTTCTGAAAAATAATTATATAAAATGCATTTTCTGACATGAAAAATAAAAACTAAATATGTACTAAATATTGAAGGAAAAAAAAAAAAAACTAGGACCAGAGTCAAAAGGTTACTTATTTTTCCAGTCATGTGATGGTAAGGTAGTGTTCGCCAGGCCTTATCCTTTGGGTTCTCTTACAGAGAAGTAGCGATGGCGTCTCTGGTGGTGGGTTCAGCAGCTCCTCCACTGTCCTCTCAATTCCTCAAGCCCTCTTCTTCTCGTCTGTCGTTCTCTCGTTCTGAAACCCTAACTTTCTCTCCCTTCTCTCCGATTCCTTCCCTCTCTGCCTCTCCCATGTCTTCTCTTTCACCCGTTCCCTCTGGTAAATCTCCTTTCACAAACCTTTTTCCATTCGTAAATTTATTGCTTTCTGACTCGTTTTTCTCTCCTTTTTAATCTTTCAGTGTATTGTGGTAGAGGCGACAAGAAAACCGCAAAGGGCAAGCGCTTCAATCACTCCTTCGGAAATGTAAGCTCTCTTCGCATTACTTCCTTTTAAAATTTTGTAGATTCCTTCTGTTTTTTCTGGAAATCTGCCTTGTTGTTCTTAGTCTGAGAAGCACGAACACCTACGCGACATAGGATAATTTCAACTGTATAGAGTATGATTTTGAGTAATGCAAGCTCTGTTCTCAGATCAGTTTCCTTCAAAATTTTGTGATATCGTTTTCTTTTTGATGAAAACCCAAATTGTTCTGATACTGACTCATATTAGACCTCATATGATTATGCATTTAAAGTATGAGTGCTTAATATTGTCCTTGACGTGTCTTCAATTACTGCGTTACGGGAAGCAAGCACTGTTTACTGTTTTCATTTTTTGTTAAATAGAGGTGGAATGGTCCAGTAAAATCAGCCAGAAGATACTCATGATGTAAATTTAAAGAAATATAAATAACTACATTTATAGTAATGTAGAGGATTCTCACTTGGTAAACAACACAACTCGGCAACTATGTTACGCCAAATTATGCCATGTACAGATGTTAGCATTGTATTTGATATGATCTCAATCTTCTATATTTGTTAAACTAGTTTTACATTAATCACAAACAAAGGCTTGTCACTTACACCAAAATAGCTCAAGCGGCTTTGAAAGAATGTGAGATTATCATACATCTAATATTTTTCTTACTATTTTTCCTTTCCTTTCTTTTTTTTAATATCAATTCTTTGGTCCCAAATCAACCCGGCTCTTGATACCATGTTATAATTTTACACTAATATCAAATTAAAACTTGTCACTTACACTAAAATAGCTTGAGCTACTTTGAAAGGACTCGCCTTGTAGTTGTGATTAATTTTCTAATCATCCAATGTGAGACTATCATACATTTAATAAGACAGATGTAGTGCATTTGAAAGAGATAAGGAGAAGAAAAATGATGGGAGTAACATTGGAAGATCCAATTGGGCACTTGGTATAATATTATCGTTCTATTTTTCTGAAGCACCAGTGAATCAGTTCTTAGATACTGGGTGTTTCGATTGTGATGTTATGCCATTAATGGGGGCTGGGTGGGGTGGGGGATTATCAGGCAAGGCCGAAGGACAAGAAGAAAGGTAGAGGACCACCAAGGGTTTATGCTCCTCCAGCTCCTTCCAAGAAAGATAAGTTTGAAGATAATGAAGTTGTCAAGATTGAGATTGATGAGTCTCTCTTTTCTGGATGATTTTACTGGACCCTGTAATTCTACTTTTCATTATTTGTTAACTAGTTGATGATACTGTCAAGGAATGTTTGAATTCCATCATGTTGTACACAACTTTATTCCTCACGTGCTAATTTTTTGCAACACATGAGTGTCAAGATATCGGTGCTTTATAACTTCTTTTCTTTCACTGCCATCTCTAATTAATCTTGGTATGGGTGGGCAACCCTCAACACTGGGAGATATCTACAGCTATATGATACTATTAATGGAGATTTTTACAGGAAAAAGACCAACAAATGAGGAATTTGAGGGTGGGGTTGGAATTCATCGGTACGTGGCAATGACTTTACCTAATCATGCCATAGAGATAGCTGATCCTTCCCTGCTACCTGAAGAAGAAGGTGAGGATAGAGATATATAGGCGGTGGAGAGAGCAATGAGAGAAAATCGAAGGAGGAGGGTAATGGAGGATTGCTTGAGTTCATTGATGTAAGTGGGAGTGTCTTGCTCTCCAAATCTACCATCGCAAAGGCTGCGGACTATAACCGAGGTTGTTAACAAACTCCAAGCAATTAAGAAATTGTACATATCCAAATAGGTATTAACTATTAAGAGAAATTAATTAAATTATTAATATTAATATTCAGTATCCACTCTTTACTTTAGTTTTTAAATATGTATTCATAAATATATTATTCCTTCAAATTAAATGTGTTCTGCATGTGAATAGGATTTTTATTGCATCCGTATATGATGAAAAATTGTTTGTTATATATAAATTATGAATAGTATAACTTATTTTTTACGGGGTAAACCAACAAATTGATCTCTAATCTATAAGTTCAAGAAAATTTAGAATTCTAACTCATTTTTTGCTCAATATTTTTCTTTAACTTTTAAAAATGTGCAGTATAGTCTTTGTTGTTAAGAAAAATTAACTTTGACCATGAGTTGATTAATAAATGACAAATAATAACATTAAAAATTACAAAAAAACAAAAAATTATAATAAAGGATCCAAAAATTATAAAAAATGACTCAAAAAATTTTATTGTTTTTTTTTGTAATTTTGAGATTCTTTTCTATTATTTTTTAATTAAAATTAAATTTTATAAACAAGAAGGATTAAATTGTATCATTTTTAAAAATAAAAAAATATTGTAAATAAGTTTGAGATACTAAATATTTCTGGATGTATAGTTTAAGAGTTAATTTACTCAATTATTTTTTTTAATATTATGTGAAATGCATAAAACAATAACATCTTTTCTATACTCATGCTTACTATAATTATATGCAATTTGTTATAAATTTTACATAGATATTAATAATTAATGATTAATTTTATCAACAAAAAATTAATTGGGAGGGAGTCAAGTGCAATTTATTTAGATATGTCTAATTCAATTAAATGTTAAAATATATATTACTATGGGCTCGTTTGGATTTCAGTTGAATATAATTGATTATAAAAATAATTGATTAAATGATTGATTTTAATAATAATTGATTATGCTATAACGCAATCTGTTTGGATACTATTTTTTTAAAATTAATTTTAACAAAATTGAATATGTTTGGATAATTTATTCAGAATCAATTTTAATTATATAAATTACCATAAAAGACATTTCTTTTTAAAATTAAATTATTGATAAATTTGTATCTAATATTATTAAATTTTTAAATTTTATTTAAAAATTAAAATATATTATTTAAATTATATATCAAATTAATTGTAAAAATTTAAATTATAATAACATTAATAATTTTAATTTATGTAAATAAATAACTCAATATATCATAGTTCAAATAAATTTAATAAAAGAGAAAGATTTAATTTTTAAATACTAAACATTAATTTTATAATAACTAATGAAAATAATAATATACAAGTTGATTTCTAATGACATCATGAATATAAGCTATATTTGGCAAAGATGTTAAGTACTGCCTAAAAATTTTGACTAACATAAAAAATTTAGTAATGTAACAAATGACGCAAAATCTCTTTCTCTTTAGACTTTTGCAATAATCTTTATAATGATCCTCAATTTGAAATTAAATTAAATTAATTTTCATCTATCAATTAATATTTTATTTAAATTAGTATTATAGCAGGTGTTAAGTAAAGGGTGGTGTTTAGCAAGAACTTATACTAATAACTTTTTTGAGGATCCAAAAATTTAAATTTTATTAAGAAAAAAATAAAAAGGAAGAGAGTTTGATTTTATTTTTATTAAGTTTTGTGCTTTCTTATAATCTTTTTAGGCTTTTTTTGTAATTTTCTCTCACACCTTTATAATTTCAATGTAGAGGCTAACTCTTGCCGCTTATGGGGAAAACCAATTTTTTAGAAAAAATTGATTTGTTGAATACTCCTTTCGGTCGGGCAGAGATAGAAACTTTTTTTAATTTTATTTATAAGTTACATCATTAAATTTTTATTACAAATTTTTTTATCCTCCATTAAATGTTGGAGAGAGAAAATATATTATTAATATATGTATATTTAATAGAGGTAAAGTTAAGAATTTATTAAATTTTAAGACAGAGTTAATGAGTTTTAAGGTTTTTCTTGGTACAAGTGAAACATGTTAAAAGTAACTTATAAATAAAACTAGAGGAGTAATTTGGTATTTGAGTATATAATTGAAAAAATTGATTTTTTGATCCAAAAAATGATTAAAATGTGTATCCAAACATGCACCATACCTTTTTTTTGGATTACAATTGAGATCAAGAGCCAACAAAGCTTATAAGAAAGAAACTTAAGAAGGAGCCTCCTTATCATTATCCACCACCTTTAAACAAAAAGGTGGGGGTTGATCAAAAAATTAAAACACACTTACTCTATTTAAAGCAAACTTAGTCAAAACATGAGCATAATAATTGACTTCCCTAAACATTAAGTTTATTGAAATATCACATTCTTTATAGCGAAGGGATTGGGCCTAATTAATAATATCCACAAATGGGTGACAATCATGGTTGAATCTGAGGAGAAGGTTCATTGCATTTGCACAATCAATAAACACTTTGACCTACCGTAGCCCCATATCCTAACATAATTGAAGACCATATATAATTCCTAATAACTCAGTCATAGCAACAGGGTATTTACCATCATGGACATTAAAACCACCCACTCAATTAGCATTCCAATCTTGGATTACACCACCACATTTTCCTAAACTATCTTTCACAAGACCATCTACATTTAGTCTCATATAGCCTAACTCAGGCCTCATCTATCGATCACCTGCTTGCTTTTCAAATGTGAACGTTTGCTCAGCAAGTTGCAAATCATGCTTTGCTTTATGAAGCATTGCGGTTCCATTTCCTGAACTTTCCACATCCTCACTAAAAAAGCCTTTTTACATCTATCATGCCATATATCCCAACATACATATCCAAAAAGAATATCCCAGGGTACCTGTTTTGTGAAACTTTTTCCAAAATTTTTACGAAGGTTCCAAGGGATCCATTCTATTCTACTCAAGTCCTTGAATTGTTGCTAGTAATTTGCTCCAACTAGCCCCTTCTAGCATTCTTTAGCATGGGGACAGTCTCGAAACACTTGCATTTCATCCTCCATTATATTACACCTAAGCGGGCATCTACTAGAATTCACTAAGTCCTATCTCGATCTTAACTTTGCTATATGAACTCTTCTGTTAGCAAATAGCTAGAGAAGCACTTTGATTTTTTCTAGTCCTCTCCAACACCATATTCTGCTCTAAATATCATCAACTTGATTCTCAATACCTGTAAAAAGAAAATCATATGCAGATCAAGTGTTAAAAGAACTATTAGTGGATGGCGCCAAATAAAGTTATCCTCTCCCCTCTCATCTCTTGGAGTCGAAGTACGAGCAATCTGAGACACGACATGGCTATGCAACCATCTCCCCATTTTCATAATATCCCAATACCTTCTGGAGGCAACAAGATCAACAACGCTATCCTTTATATTAAACGAAGTGTTCAGTGCATATTTAATCAATGGTTTACCACAAACAGCCCAATTATCAAACTAGAAGCTAGTATTATATCCATTTCTCACCTTTCTTCCAACTCTATCTAAGAATTTATCCCAACATTTAGCTATACTCTTCCAAGTTAAAGATGAACTTTTTTTTCCTCTAACTAATGGCACCACGTCAATTCCACACTTATACTTAGCTTTCAAAACCTTAAGCCATAGGGAATCATCATTATTGAGCAATTTCTAGCATAACTTGAAAATGAAAGTTTTGTTTTGTTTCTTTAGATCTTCAATCCCCAAACCCCCATTCTTCTTATCCCTTGTTACCACATCCCAAGACAAAAGATGTAATCTCCTTTTATTCTCATCTGAACCCCATAAGAAACTCCAATTCAGCTACTCCAATTCTCTCAAGAGTTTCTTAGGCATCAATATAGTCTGCATATAATAACTCGATAGAGCAGTAATAACAGATTTGATTAACACTTATCTACTAGCTATTTTTAGGAAATTCTTCTTCCACCTTAACAGTCTCTTCTTTGCTTTGGCCAAGATTAGGGAAAATAGATTATAGGAGGCCCTGCTATAAATTAGGGAAATTCCTAGATATTTTCCTAGATCCTCTATCAATCCCACCTTTAGTTTCCTACTTAAATCAAGGGCATAATTGAAATGAACATTCCTAGAATAGCACATCTCAGTGTTTTGCTTATTGATCTTCTAACCCAAATATAAGTAGAATCTCTCTATATATTCATTAATAACTTCGATTTGGTCTATAAAGGCTTTTGAGAATAAAATTAGATCATCAGTAAAGAAAAGTTGTGATAGCTTTGGTCCCTCTTTGTTCAAACTAATTGGTTGCCATCTTCCTTTATTAATAGCATCAGTGATTAAGTGATTAAGCCTTTACATACATAGTGTAAACAAATAAGGTGACATAGGGTCACCTTGCGGCAAACCACAAGAAGATTGGAACGATTCAGTAGATTTACCATTCTAGAGAATTTGAAAATAGGGAGATTTGATATACAAGATGATCACATGACACAACTCATCCTTGATGCCTAGGTTTCGTAAAGTATCATTAACAAACGACCATTCCACCCTGTCGCAAGCTTTTTCCAAGTCAACTTTCACAACCATGCAACCTTTCTTCTTTCATTGAGTCTTCATTGAATGAATGACTTCTTGGGCAATAATGATATTATTACTACTTGGCGCCCCGAGATAAAACTGCATTATTGTGGCCCCACTACTTTTTTCATAATGGGTTTCAACCTATTTGCAATAACTTTTGAGACAACCTTATAACTTACATTACAAAGGGAAATAGGCCTGAAATCTTTCAAAGTCTCAAGATTGTCAACCTTAGGAACGAGCACCAAATGGGCTTGATTAATCTCTTTTACTGAATCAGGATTTGTAAAGATTCTCTTAACTAGTTTACACTCTTCACCACCTATAATTCCCCATTGGTCATGATAGAAGAAGGCCTAAAAGTCTAGGAGCTTTAAAGGCTTCCATCTCAAAGGTAGTGTCTTTGATCTCATTGTTAGTCACTTCCTTGTGGAGATTAGTAATATCATTTTCCACAAGTTGAGGGAAGTTCTTGTTAGTCACTAGCTTTTGATTCGAGATCACTTCACCTGTGAAAAGCTTCTTGAAGAATTAGTTTGCCATGTTCTTTATAATATCCTTATCTATAACCCACTCTTCTTCATTGCTTAGCGACTCAATCTTATTTCTCTTTCTTCGAATAACCATGGCAGCATGAAAAAGCTTGCTGTTTCTATCTCTCCATTTTAGCCAATTTCATTTAAATTTTTGGTACCAAATCAACTCCTCTTGAGTACAAGTCTTGTTATATTCATTCCACAGCTTCTTTTTAAGTTGGATAAGTTACTGAGCATCTTTAGAACTACGCGCCCTATTCGCTTCTTCAATTCTCCTTAACAGGGACCTTTTCCTTCTTACAATATTTCCCACCCTATCTTTATCTCATTTTTGTACATTTTTGCCAAACCTGTCCACATTTTCATTCCTTAACACGCACTATATCTAGAAAACTACTTTCCCCAGAATTTCCCCTGCGTCAGATGCTTTGGTCAGCTTCTCTCTTTATTGGGCCCATACTATAGGGTCTTGCTCTTTAATTTGTTTTACTTACGATACCAGACAAGAACAAATTTTGCAGTTTAAAAAAAAAAAAAAAATCGCAGCCATCCAACCGTAGAAAGGACATTAGAAACTTACGAGGACTTTAATTGCTTAAAAGGATAAAAATAAAATGAATTAAAAGATTATATTAAAAAGAATTAAATTTCTTTTTCTTTCATTGTAAGCATAATAAAATTCAATAACACATACTATAAATATGAGAATTACCACACCTTCAACAAATTTTATGAATAATGGTTGTCAATCTCATAAACTAAATTATATTTTCTTCTTCTTGATAGATATGATTGACTTATCTCTTCTTCATATCTTAATCATTCTGTTCTTATTTTTATTTTTTAAAACAATTTCATTTATTTTCTTTTCAGTAATCAAATGGCCTCTAATGATAAAAACCTTGTTGTTTTGTTAGTCATGTTGAGAGGGACAGCACTATGATCCAGTTTCCAAACCAAGAGCTAAGCTAAACCTTGGGTGTAATAACTTGCAATTTCCAAGTTTATTTCCAACCAGTGAAGTCTGAATTGCTCAAGATTCCCATATTCTGTTCAAGAGTATCACAGTTGCAAAAGTCCATTTTTAACTGAGAACCAAACACGTAATGCAATCGCCACGCTTGTGTAATTAAATAATTCAAGATATTTTGTTGCATAGATGATTTTCAGAACCTACCTACTTCGCTTTATTTGAATTATAAACATGTGATACCAAATTATTTTTCATTTTGAGTAAGACATCACTGAATTTGTATATATGATGGGACTGCAGAATTAATGAAACCGAATATATAGGTGATGATGATAAGAGACAAGATCAAGTCTAGAAGCTAAGGTCAATATGCCACGTGGATATTATCCCACTAGTCTTCATATAATTAAATTTATGACATATATATCCTACTTTTGTGTATGCAATATACACTGATGAAGAAAGGTATAATCATGCTAATAACTCTATCAGTGGTCCAGGCATATAAGTTTTCACGCACGCGCGCACACATATTTTGTAACTTACACCCTCTCCTTGCACTTTGCACTCTTTTATTTTAAAATTTTAAATTTTAAACTCATTTTAATTTAATTTTTCTTTTTACTCTAAATCTATTCAATTTTTTAATTCAGAACCTAGTGAATATTAGTCTATTATTTCACTATACATAAATATTAATATTATTTATTAATCCTTTAAAAATAGGAAAAAATATCTAATTTGACTAAATCAAACTCTATCCTCATCCTGAATACTAGCCTTAGTGGACATATATGTGACATATCAAGGCGATAAAAATATCACGTGAGTTGATCAATTGTTTTCATCTTTATGAAGAGTGGACCTAATTCTTCCTACCCTTTCTTCTTTTATAGCATAGAAAAATTTCTTCTGCTCTGCATATCTGTTAAGAATATCAAACTTTGATCTATCCGTTACCTTTGTAGTTCCACAGAGTCTCGTACCTTCCCTGTAACGTCATCCCTTCGTGTAACAATACCACCTTTACAATTGCTAGAGTTGGATTCAGACCTGCAGTTAAAAAGAGATGAGCCACCGTAGAGCAAGCTCCAGAATCTTGGCATTACAAATCCTTAGTGGATCGCTTCTTTTGTGCATGAGCTCAACATTTAGCTCTGCAACTATGACCCTACAAGGAACCGAAACTGATTTTCAAGCTTTGCTTGACTTGAAGAGTCGGATATCTCAAGATCCATTCAAAATAATGAGTTCCTGGAACAACTCCATCCATCACTGCAAATGGGTAGGAATCACCTGCAACATATCCACCGGACGGGTGGTGCAACTGAGTCTTGGACAACAGAGATTGACTGGTACAATTCCCTCTTCAATAGGAAACCTCACATTCCTCAGAATACTTAATCTAAGCATCAACAGCTTCCACGGTGAATTTCCTAATGAAGTGGGACGTCTGCTATACCTTCAAACTCTAACGGTCACCCTTAATTACTTCAGCGGAGGTGTACCAAGTAATCTAAGTCACTGTAAGGAACTGAGGATTTTATTTGCAGGTAATAACAATTTAACAGGAAAAATCCCTACATGGATAGGGAATTTTTCTTCTTTATCTCATATCGGGCTTGGAGTGAACAACTTCCATGGAAGCATACCAAAAGAGATGGGCTATTTATCAGGCTTGAAATTTCTGGGACTCAATGGTAATTACCTATCTGGTACAGTTCCTATTTCTATTTACAACATTTCCTCTATATTTTACTTCGCTGTTGGTCAAAACAATCTGCAAGGTATTATACCATCTGATATTGGATTTAGTCTTCCTAACCTTGAGATATTTGGCGGAGCGGTCAACAATTTCACCGGTATTGTTCCAGTATCATTGGTAAATGCTTCGAGGCTGCAATTACTTGATTTTGCTGAAAATGCTCTAACTGGAAAACTGCCTGAGAACTTGGGAGTTTTGAAAAGTTTATTTTGGCTCAACTTTGATGACAATAGACTTGTATCTAATGGAAAATATTATTATGGCCTTAGTTTTCTTACTTCTCTGGTCAATTGCACTGAACTTGAAGTTTTAGGTCTTAGAGGAAATATGTTTGGAGGAGAATTGCCCAATTCAATAACTAATCTTTCAAGCAGATTAAGAAAATTAACGTTAGGTGAAAATGCATTATATGGAAGCATCCCTGCTGCCATTGGAAATCTTGCTAGTTTGGAAAGTCTAGGATTGGAAGGAAACCTTCTAGCCAGCAGTGTCCCTGATGGAATGGGCAAACTCCAAAATTTAGGCCGTTTGAATTTGAATGGCAACAACCTTTCAGGAACAATCCCTTTGTCTCTGGGAAACTTGACTTCATTAACACAGCTCTTCATGGAGGATAACAACTTTGTGGGAAGTATACCTCCAAGCCTTGGAAATTGTCAGAACCTTCTAGTACTAAGTCTTTATAACAACAAACTCAGCGGCACCATACCGAGACAAGTGCTTGGCATTTCTTCACTTTCAGTGTACTTGGACGTCTCTAATAATGTTCTTACAGGACCTTTACCAGATGAAGTGGGAAATTTACATGGTCTAACAAAGCTGGTACTCTCAGAGAATAACTTTTCCGGTGTCATTCCATCTTCTCTTGGAAAATGTGTCAGCTTGGAGCAGTTGTACTTGCAGGGTAATTTGTTTGCAGGAGAGATTCCTAAGAGTTTAGAGGGACTGAGAGGTTTGGAAGACATAGATCTTTCACGTAACAACTTGTCTGGGAAGATTCCTGAATTCCTCAATGAGTTTGTAGCTCTCAAACATCTCAATCTTTCTTACAATGACCTTGAGGGTGAAGTGCCAAAGGGAGGAATCTTTACAAATGCAACTTCCACTTCATTATACGGAAACAGCAAGCTCTGCGGTGGTATCCCAGAATTTAATCTATCTACATGTACAACCACATCGACAAGAAAATCTCTCGCGCTGAAGGTGGCAATCCCTCTTGCTAGCACTTTGGTGTTTGCCATCCTTCTATCATGCTTTCTTGCACTCTTTTTCATGGCAAAAAGAGTGAAGAAAAGATCAGAAGAAAATGCAATCAACACAAGGGATTTGAACCCAGAAATTTCTTACGCAGAAGTGGCTAGATGCACTAGTGGTTTCTCTCAAGAAAACTTGATCGGTTCGGGAAGATTTGGTTCGGTATACAAAGGAACTCTCACTAGAGACAACGCATTAGTTGCAGTGAAAGTATTCAATCTTCATCAAAGAGGAGCTTCAAGGAGTTTCACTGACGAATGCAAAGCTTTGAGAAGAATAAAGCACCGGAACCTTCTCAAGATCGTAACTGCTGTATCAAGCATTGATCACCAAGGTAATGACTTCAAAGCTCTGGTGTTCGAGTTCATGTCTAATGGGAATCTAGATGATTGGATACATCTAAGAGATAATGTGCAACGGGAGAGCAAGAGATTGACATTTGTCCAAAGACTGAACATAGCAATTGATGTTGCTTGTGCACTGGAATATCTCCACCGTTTTTGTCAAACACCTATCGTACATTGTGATATAAAACCAAGCAATGTACTGCTTGACAATGATTTGGTTGCCCATGTTGGTGACTTTGGACTAGCAAGCCTTCTATACGAAGAATCAAGCGACTCTTCCATTTCACAAGAACACTCAACCATGTCAGGTGGCCTAAAGGGTTCTATTGGGTATATTCCACCAGGTAAATTTTTACACTTCACACTTGAAAGCCTCAAATGCATAATTCTATGCAAGTAGCACTTGATTCAGTATCATGATTCAAATTGTTGTGTCAGCATGTCCGCTTTTGAAAAAGTGAAATGTTTGCAGAGTATGGTATGGGCGGACAACCTTCAACACTAGGAGATATCTACAGCTATGGGATACTATTACTGGAGATTTTCACAGGAAAAAGACCCACAAATGATGAATTTGAAGGCGGGATGGAAATTCACCAGTATGTGGCAATGGCTTTACCCAATGAAGCCTTGGAGATAGCTGATCCTTCCTTGCTACCTGAAGAAGAAGATAAGGATGAAGAGATATACTTGGAGGAGAGAGCAATAAGGAAGGAAAATCGAAGGAGGAGAGTAACAGAGGATTGCCTGAGTTCATTGATGCAAGTGGGAGTATCTTGCTCTGCAAGTCTGCCATCAGAGAGGCCGCAGACTATGACTGTGGTTGTTAACAAACTCCAAGCAATCAAGAAAGTGTACATCGCCAGATAAATATGCGTTTGTGACAAATAATTGGAGCGAGAGAAGAGATGGTAAGGTCATCAGTTTGCTGCATCATTTTTTTGCTTTTTACCAGTGATTTTATGACATTTTTATCATATCATGTTTACTGTAAAAATATATTAAAGATTTATACTTAATCACACATTACTATTTCCTTGAGCTTATCTATGGTGATTACACTTCAAAAGAAGATGATTAGCTGTATGCAGCGTTTCTGCACGCACATGTATGATTCTATGCTCGTGAATTTCTGAGCAGTCAAACATTTTTATGGCAGACACCTTTTTCTAAAACATACTATTTGGTATTTATGGCAGAAATCACACACACACACACACACACACTATTTGGTATTTAACTTGTAGATTTTTTTTATTGATAAACAACAATTTATATTTATTTAAAGTATCATAATTATTACAAACTATGATTCATGAACATGTTGGAATATTCCAGGTATTCATTGGGTGTTCTATTTGAACTTATTTTCTGTAGTGGACCTAATGCTTCAAATGACCAGGACTTAAACAGCTCATCTTATGACGCAGCTCACCGATGTAAACCAACGGTAAAACTGTGCCTGATTGAGTCATATCATTAATAGATACAGGACAACCTTCAAAGACACTTGCATGGTTTTCTGTTAGAGAGCATCATGGACAAATTTCCGCAAGAGGAGATGAACCTTGAGTTCGTCCTCCAATTTCCAAATTTTCTTCCAAATTGCTGAAGATTCCCGCTCTGTTCAATCTGATCACAATGTTTTGGATACATCAATTCATGAAATAATGACTCATTTTCTACAGTTAACAATCTCCACATCCTTTTTCCTAACAGAAACTTCATTGAACATCTCCTTTTTCTGCAATTAAACCCATCCCACTGTGCTTCTTGCTTGTACAATGAACATCCCATTTTTTTCATGTGCACTTTAATCTACTCCAGTTGGAAAATTGAGATAATATGAACCACCAATCCTCCCAAAGAAAGAGGAGTAGCAAAAAAGAAAAACTAATTCACACTATTTCTTAACTAGACAATTGTGTATTTGATTAGTACGTGCAAGCAAATGAGTGTCTCACGCATGACAATGCGTGAAATTCTGTACAGCTAAGTAAAATTGGGAATTTTTGCAACAAATGTTCGCGGGAATAGCTCTCTAAAAAAAAGTTATGTTCGTTGTCTTCAAGGCATGACATCACTTTCTTTTAATCTTAATTCGTCCCCACGTTTTTAAGTCTTTGGATGCAAATTGGATCGATAGATACAATGAATACTGTTGAGCATGAATTATTTTTTCAAGACTCAAGCTAAGATAACAATGATTTTTATAAAATAATATTTTGATTTTATCTCTGATGCACTCAAAAATAAAGACAATTAGTTTTCATAAATGAATGTGCAAAATGAATGATGGTGAGAAATCTTTATAGATATTAAAGTGATGTTTTGAATTGATATATTTTAAGAAATAAAACTCTTTTTAAAAGTTATAACCTATGTTGATTCATAATCTTATATTAGTTCATGAATAATCTTATGTTGATTCAGGAACATCCAACTAACATAATTTAATATTTAATATTAATCAAGTGTTATTTATAATAAATTTCATGAAAAGAAGTATTCTTTGAATATGTAAAGTTTTTTTGAAATACATCTCATCACTCCACCAAGTGATATCTTTTAATTTTGTAACCATCCAAGTATGCTTTTAGAATTTAGAGAGATGTGTTCACTTTTGTGATTATAATTCATTAGATGGCCCTCGTAAAAATTTCTTAATTTATAAATATATGACTTTTTAAAAAGATATCTCTTCATTTTAAAAGTACTCTAACCAGAAGTAAATTAAATTTACCAAAATTTGAAATACTCAAGTTGCTGGCATGTTTTCTAACCAATCAAAAATAAAAAATGACGTTTCCGAATCGATTTTCTTTCCGCAAGTTTGGTGAGGGGATTTTTCAAATTTACGTTTGACCTTGGACAGTTTATGGACATAATTCTATTTTTAACAGCTGCTGAAACATCATATCTCAAGTAAATATGTCTACCATATCTCGCAGTTGAAAGTTTGAATATTTTCTGTCACAGCACTTTCCTATCTTTCTCTTTTAGGCTTTAGCTCTCCTGTGACTTGGTTTTCTTTTCCTTTTTTCCGTTAATATAAGGTGATCTTTTTCCCTTAAAAAAAAAAAAGAACGTTTGAGTATTTTTAGGAGAACTGAAAAATGAATAGGTTCTTAAATGGGACTTTTCAACCAAGGCTCCCCCCATTTTTATCGTAAATCTCTGGTTAACATAAACTGTTGTTTTTTTTTTTCAAAAGATCACCTCCAATTTTAGGCCCAAAGTGAATTAATAAAAAAGGAAGAAGAATATAAATTATTTGGGGTAGCCTCCAAATCAAGATCAATTGTTATTAATGTTGATTGTTAGTCATAGATTTATACTTGAAGGCCAAGACACCGAGTTCTAGAAATAAGACAATTGGCTTGTCACTTAGAGCATGAAGTGGTGGGAGTGAAAAAGAAAAAGAAAGAGTGACAGATAGGTCTCCATAATTCAAATTAAAATTTAAGTGTCAAACTTTAAGAATTTATAAGTTTGATTTTCAATTTTGTAATTTCATTATGATGAATTTGTAACTTATATTTTAAATTTAAATAGGAAAAACAATTTTTTCAATCATGTTAAAATTTTAAAAATAAGTTATGAATTTATTACAATAAAATTATAAAATTAAAAATAAAACTTGTTAACATTTAAGGCTTAATCTTAATTAATTAATTCCCTCATTTGTCATTCTCAAAAAATAAAAAAATAAAAAAAAGTTGAAAAAAGTGAAGAGTGAAGAAGTGTGCAGGCCTGTGGGGTGCGGGGTGAAAAAGTAAAACAGAGAAGAAATGAATGAAGAGTGAGAGGTGTGAGGAAATGACTTTTGGGAAGAGAAGAAGAAAACGTTGCCTGGAGAGTATTGTATTTTAAATACGTAATAAAATTTTCCTCATCCTCATTTCATTTCTGTAAGCCTTGCCCGTTCATGTATCCAACGTAAACTTCTACCAAGGATATTACTAACAATGTATCTACTCATTTCTTTATTGACCGCAGCTCAACCCTCAAACAATCAAGTCATTAAATTTGAATACAAGTAATTATAGTGGCAGTGACATTCGAGCAAACCTTGAAAAACCTGTCCTCAGTCCTAGGGTGACATCAGCAAATGCAATTCTTTTCTCCCCTAGCTGTTTAAATTCTGCATATTCAGTTACTTGCCATCAGCCTATAAAAATATGACAAGAACTAATCAACTATTTTCATCTTAATGCAGAGGAGACCTAATTCTTCCTATCCTTTTTATTTCTTCTTTTATGCTTTATTTGGGTTCAAAAAAAAAAAAAAGAAAAATTTCTTCTGTGTTCAATGGATGTTAAGAATGTCAAACTTTGGTCTTCCTGTTACCATTGTAGTTCCAAAGATTCTCTTTCTTTCCTTGTAACTTCATCCCCTCTTGTAACAATCCTACCTTACAATTGATAGGTCAGATCTACAATTAAAAAGAGATGAGACACCGTAGAGCAAGCTCGGGAATCCTAGCATTACAAATCCTCAGTGGATCGCTTCTTTTGTGCATGAGCTCAACATTTAGCTCTGCAACTATGACCCTACAAGGAAACGAAACTGATCTTCAAGCTTTACTTGACCTCAAGAGTCAGATAACTCGAGATCCAGTCAAAACAATGAGTTTCTGAAACAATTCATCCATCACTGCAAGTGGGTAGGAATCACCTGCAACATCTCCACCGGAAGGGTGGTGCAACTGAGCCTTGGACAGCAGAGATTGGCCGGCACCATTTCACCTTCTATAGGAAACCTCACATTTCACAGAGAGCTCAACATAAGCTTCAACAGCTTCCACGGTGAATTTCTTAATGAAATGGGTCGTCTGCTATACCTTCAACATATAATCATTAAGGGGAATGACTTTTGTCAGGAAGTGAGCAAATAATCAGCAAAAGAAAACAAGAGAAAACAATTGAAAGTTATAAAATGATAAAAGATGACACGAGAAATTGAATGTGGGAAAACCCCCAATTTGAGAGACAAAAAAAAAAAAAAAAAACTCACAAGCAACGAGTGAGTAATTTCACTATAGAAGATAGGAATTACAATAATTATCTCTTTTATGAGAGATGGAGAGACAAGATATATATACAACTTTTCATCAACTAAAAATATTATCTTGAATAATAATAAATATCCTCTAAAATATCAAATAGAAATATGATAAATTTACACCAATATAATATATAAAATACGAAGGATTATAAAGATTTGAGTCATAATCTCAACAAACTTCCGCTTGACTCAAATTTAGTAATGCTCGTAATAACCAAGTAGCCCCAAAGGACAATTAAGTGCTATAAATACTAACTAAGCCCAAGTAATACTTGAACTTAATATCAGGAAGAGGCTTCGTAAGCATGTTTGCTGGATTTTGGGATGTTTGAATTTTCTTCACAATAATTTCACCAATTGCAACAATATCTCTGATAAAGTGATGTCTGATTCTATATGTTTAGTTTTCGAGTGATATCTATCATTCTTAGTTAAATGAAAAGCACTTTGATCATCACAAAAAATATTAGTAACTCCTTAGACAACCTTAAGTTTAACCAAATAGCTTTCTTTACACCCTCAATTGCTACTATATGCTTTGCTTCAGTTGTGGATAATGCAGAAATAGATTGGAGAGATGCTCTCCAGCTAAGAAAAGAGCTATAAAGGGTGAAAATATAGGTAGAAAGAAACTTTTGTCCATCAAATGTGAGTGGACATAAGACAATATAGGAAGTCCCATATTGGATAAATTTGGGTTTAATAATTAATATATAATAAAGAGGAAAGACTCATAAACTTGAGTCTTGAGGTTTTGAGTAAAAATATGGCACCTTTTTGTTTCTCTTATCTCTCCTCTCCTCTCCCCCATTCTTGGACGGTCACATCTCATTCTTAACAAGTGGTATCACAATTAGGTTTTACTCGGAACCTGTAAGCTCATTATTGTTCATATGTTTGAGTATTAAAAAAATGGGACTAACCCTGCTGACGTCCTTCCGCAGCTCTTGCCCCTTCTCTCCTCTTCCCCGGTTCCTGGGCGGTTGGGAACATTCCAAGTAATCAAAGTCATTATAAAGAATTGAGGATGATACTTGCAGGTCACAAAAATTTCACAGGAACAATCCTAACATGCATAAGGAATTTTTCTTCTTTATCTTCGTTAGTCTTTGGAGTAAATCAGTTCTATGGAAGCATACCACATGAGATAGGCTATTTATCAAGCTCAAAAGTTCTTAGATTATATGTGAATCACTTATACGATATAGTTTCTTCTTCTATTTATAACATTTCCTCTATGTTTTACTTCATTGTTGGTCAAAACAATCTGCAAGGTAGTATGCTACCTGATGTTGGATTAACTCTTCCTAACCTTGAGATATTTGGTAGGGCAATCAATAATTTAACTTGAACTATTCCAGCATCATTGTTAAATGCTTTGAGACTACAACTTATTGACTTTACTAAGAATGCTCTTACTGGAACACTACCTAAGAACATAAGAATTTTGAAAAGTTTATCTTGGCTCAACTTTAATCAAAATAGAATTGTATCTACTGGAAATGATTATGATGGCCTAGGTTTTCTTACTTCTTTAGTTAATTGCATTGTACTTGAAGTTTTAGGTCTTAGTAGTAATTTGTTTATAGGAAAATTGGCCAACTCAATTACAAACCTATC